CCAAGGCGGTGCTTTTGATCCTTGGGGTGGTCTTGTGAGTCTCTTTTGTTGTGGATTATTTGCTGTCACTAAACTTTAATAGGGATTTGAAGCATGTGCTCAACTCTTGAATGAACAATTCGAGAGAGTCTTCAACAAGAATGATTTTGCTGCGGGCGTTGCCCTTTTGAGTTTATATATGATCTGTGAGTCTTTGATATTATGGCACATGAATAATACTGATTGTCTCTCAGACGGTGGCACAAATTGGGGAAATCTTGGTCATGCCGGTAAGCAATGAAATTCTGTTCTATCGTTAGCTATTACTCACATTCTTAGGTGGCTACACATCTTACGACTATGGCGCTGCCATTTCTGAAAACCGTGAAATCACTCGTGAGAAGTACAGCGAGCTGAAGTTAGAAGCCAACTTTTTGAAAGTCAGCCCTGCATATCTCACTACATCTGTTGGTGCAGCTGCCAATGGCACATACACCAGCAGTAATGCCATCACCACAACTCCCCTTCTTGGCAATGGAACCGTCACAAACTTCTATATCGTTCGCCATTCAGATTATCAAACTTTGGCTTCTACAAACTATAAGTTGACTGTTACCACAAGTCAAGGCGCTCTTACTATCCCTCAATTGAACTCAAGTCTTACTCTAAATGGTAGAGATTCAAAATGGCATGTAACAGACTATGACATCGGAGGAACATCACTCCTTTACTCTACAGCAGAAATCTTCACTTGGAAGAAGTTTAATGATAAGACTGTTTTGGTCGTTTATGGTGGACCAGGAGAATCTCATGAATTGGCTGTAGTTTCAAAGAGCTCAGCACAAGTTATTGAGGGCTCAGGTGTTACAAGCAAGAGTACTAATGGTTCGACGATTCTTAATTGGCAAACATCTACTACACGTAGAGTGGTCAAGATTGGTAGCGTATTTGTCTACATTTTGGACCGAAACACTGCGTACAATTATTGGGTGCCAGACTTTGCCAGAACCGACAAATGGGGTGCATTGTAAGTGTTTTAATCTAGTTTTGGTCTCACATAGCTGCTAACACAAAATCAGCGCCTCAAGCATCAAAAACACAGTTTCTGTCATCGTAGAAGCAGGTTACCTCGTTCGATCCGTTTCAACCCAGGGTTCAGATCTCCATATCTACGGTGATCTCAACGCCACCGTCCCATTCAAAGTAATTGGTGCCCCTAAAGGAACTAAGAACCTTTACTTCAACTCCCAAAAGGTCTCTTACAAGACGGATTCTACAACTGGTGAACTCTCATCAACCCTCACCTACACAGCCCCAAAAATCTCTCTTCCATCTCTCTCAACTCTCTCTTGGAAATACCTCGACAATCTCCCTGAGATCCAATCCTCTTACGACGACTCAGCCTGGACGGTCGCCAACAAAAACTCAACAGCTAACCCCTACCTCACTCCTCTCCTAACCCCTACCGTTCTCAATGGTCCAGATTACGGTTACAGCACCGGAGTGTTAATCTTCCGCGGCCATTTCATCGCAACCGGCAATGAATCCACCCTTTACATCTCCACCCAAGGAGGTTCCGCCTTCGGCTCATCCGTCTGGCTCAACTCAACCTACATCGGTTCCTGGGTCGGCGCCGACTATGCCGAAGCCAAAAACTCTACTTACACTTTACCGAACCTAAAAGCTGGCTCCAAGTACATCTTCACAGTCGTAATCGACAACAACGGTCTCGATGAGAACTGGACCGTAGGAACCGAGGAAATGAAATCTCCACGAGGAATCCTAAACTACGTTCTATCCGGCCACGCTAAAGACTCCATAACATGGAAACTCACCGGAAATCTCGGCGGAGAACAATACATCGATCAAGTGCGCGGACCATTGAACGAGGGTGGTCTCTATGCCGAACGTCAAGGATACACGCAACCTTCTCCTCCTTCTTCATCGTGGAGTGCTGGATCACCTTTGCAAGGAATCAAGAGTGCAGGCGTGGGATTCTGGACAAGTACCTTTAAATTGGACATGCCAAAGGGTTATGATGTACCCCTTGCATTCAATTTCGGAAACTCGACCACGTCGAATGGAACCAGTGATTATAGAGTCCAGCTTTGGGTTAACGGATGGCAGTTTGGAAAATACGTCAACAACGTTGGACCGCAGACCAGCTTCCCAGTACCACAGGGTATGTCTTTTTCATTTTTCTTCCCCATCTTCACTCATCCTTCTTATATATGTGCACGAATTTACTAACTCGCCCCTCTCCGCAGGAATCCTCAACTACAACGGTCAAAATACCCTCGCCATTGAACTCTGGGCTCAACAAGCCTCAGGCGCGGCATTATCCAATTTCACATTGACGGCTGGAACTCCCGTCCTTACGAGTTTGAAGGCGCCTAGTTTGGTGCATAGTCCGGCTTGGAGTAAGAGGAAAGGTGCTTATTGATTTGAGAGTGGAATTTTGGGAGGCGAAAGAGAATTGGAAATAGCGGCGAAAGGAATGCTAGTTAGTGTATGGAGGAGGTATTAGGTATATATATACACGAGAAATTATACATATTCAGCCACTTGTTTTTGTCGTCAGTTTTCACTCACAGTCTCGTTTCTCCGATGCGATGACTTTCACCTTTGAATGAATAATCGTACGTAACAAACATGCAACAAGAAAAGAAACATGACAGGTTTCAAACAACAGTCTTCTTCGTAAGAGGTATCAAAATTGAGTATCTGGCTCTTTCGCCAATATGCTACATATCCTTTATATCGCTAGCACAAATGCATATGATAATGTACAAAAAATCTGACAAGATGCGATGATTTGTACAATTCCCTCATATTCCTTCTCGATCATCTGATTCGAATCTATGAACGACGTATAATAAGAGTGAAGATGGCTCCTACAAGTACTGCTCCCCCAGCGGCACTTTCTAATGCTATGATCGTTATATCTCTTTTTGGTATCGAAATTTGTTGTGTACTCCATAAATCTATTGCCGCAGCTTTCCCGGCTTCCATTTTTTCTTTCCAAGATTCTACGTTTCGGTAATCGAATGCGGGCTTAGAATAAGGTATGCTCAATTCTGCAGTATCCATTGCTGCTGCTGCTTCGCCAATTTCTGGAGCTGGCTCATTATTTGATTCGTGATGTGATACTTCACCTTCCATTACAGCAGCTACTGCTTCTACCGCCGGTTCATCCAGGGCCTTTTCTCCGATCTCTTCTTCCAATTCCTGGACACTAGATGCGACGATCTCATCCAAGCTTACTTCTGAACCCTCTCCCCCACCAACTTCAGCACCTCGAATAGCTGTCGACATGGCAAAGCTCTTCTCCTTCTCTAGTGCCTCTCTAACTTTGTCTTCGAATCCTGCAACCAATCTTCTCCTTCTCCACGGTTCAAACCCAAATTGGAATACCAAGAATAATAAGACGTTGACTCCCATTAATCCCCATGTTCCCCATGTACTCATTCTTCGTATCTTGTCACTCCAAATCTGTTCCTCATGATATCGGGATAATATACTACTGCTCAATTCCCCTGCTGCTTTCTCAGCTTCGCGTTCCGCATCTGCGAGTCGAGTAGCTGCTTCCTGAACTGCCTGTTCGTTGGTATGATCCATACGGTATAGATGTGTAAAACGCTCGAGATCGGCAGGTGTCCATGTATCTTTCCTCGCTAGCAAAGTTGTAACCTCACGTTGAGAAGAAGCACGATCTGCGACGGTGGTTTTGTAGTGTAATCGAGTGCTTCGGACTTGCTCTTTGGAATTGGCAACTTGGGTTTCGAGTTCGGTGATTTTGTTCTTGAGGGCTTCAATGCCGGAGTAGCCTGTGAGGTCGTTGATCCGTTGAGATGCTATGAATATGTTGCCTTGCATATGATCCATGAGGTGGGATAGTTTCTTTGTGACTGCCAGACGTCGACTTTCGAGTGTGGAAGGGAGCTCTCCATCTTTTTCGGGTTTGGGAGAGGGAGAGACATCTTGTTCGCTGGACTCGGGAGTAGGAGTAGGCTTTTCTTCGACTTGGGGTTTGGGTTCTTCAGGCGGAGGTGTAACCTTGGGTCGAAGATGAGGAGGTGGTTCTATTATAGGTCTCTGATCATCTGCGAAATGTCGCCGCAGACTAGGAGAATAGATTCTACATTGTAGACAGATTGACGATTTGACCGCAGGTCGAGGAGAGATTCTTAGAGTTTTCGATATGGAGACTGAACCTGAGTCGATTGCAAACCGAGGAACGAGTCTTGTCAATGGTTGCATTGCAATTGACAATTATCTTTCCTCTTTTTGGTGAGGAAATTGAGTCGAGCTGAGGACTTTGTTACTCTCTTCCCTTGACCTTTTTACCTTACATCAAGAGAGAAAAGAGAATATTCGGTCAAGATTCCCCAGTGGAGCTCTGACCCAATTGATGGATGGTGTTGTGGGCTTGAATAACCCTGCTCGCCCTGTAAATAATGTAAATAATGTCTGAACGAGTCTTGACTGTATTTCTTCACCGCTTTTATGATGATGTCGAGTGAATTAATGAGTGATAGAGGGGCAAACTCGGGGTATTATTACATCCATAGGTACGAGTAGTAGGTACTGGTAAATAAATTTATATAACCCCACTACGATAACTTTATCATCATCATCATTATACAACCAACTTCAATACATTCACATACATTCACATACATTCACATACATTCATCAATACATTCAATACGCCGGATTATTTGTATATAAAAGATTCCTCTTTATATTTCATTCTTTTGCTTGTTTATAGACTTTTGGAATCCCTTCTTCCTATCAATGTAAGTTCGCAGTCCCAACAAGACTCAAACAATGGCGATGTCTATCTCATCTCAACTTCCTACCTTTCATCCTGTTTGCCAACTACCAACTACCACCAATTGCCAACTGCCAACTACCAACTCTGCTGCCATTGATTCACACTCCCAAGACACATCGACGAGAGCCAGCATCAATCGCTAATAATATCACCCAGACCTCATTACCCTCTCAACCTATTCAAAATGGGATCAACTACTCTCCCCGCCATGCAAACCTCCCCTAAATACATCTTCTTCACCGATTTCGATGGCACAATCACAACCCGCGATTCCAACGATTTCATGACGGATAATCTTGGATTCGGCCAAGAACTACGCAAGCAAGGAAACAAAGATGTCCTCGATGGTACAAAGACCTTCCGCGATTCGTTCCAATCAATGATGGATAGCATCAAGACTCCATATAGCAAGTGTATATCAACTCTTATCGAAAACATCAAGTTAGATCCTGGATTCAAGGAGTTTTTCGAATGGGCAAGAGAGAACAATATGCCAGTTGTCATTCTGAGTGGTGGAATGGAACCAATTATTAGAGCATTATTGGAACATCTCTTGGGAAAGAAAGAAGCTGCTGAAATTCAGATTGTCAGTAACCAAGTTGAAGTTAGAGAAGGATTCAAGAGTCTTGATGAGGAGGGAGGTTGGAATATTGTCTACCATGACGAAAGGTATAGTCTTGGCCCTAGGAAAAAAACTTACTAAAGGCAAAGCTAATTCCAAATAGTCATTTCGGACATGATAAATCTAGAGAGATTAGACCATACGCCGCACTCCCAGATGATCAAAGACCAACCATGTTTTACGCTGGAGATGGAGTCTCAGATCTCTCGGCTGCTAAGGAGACTGATCTGTTATTCGCCAAAAAGGGTCATGATCTCATTACCTATTGTGTTAGAGAAAAGGTTCCATTCACAATCTTTGAGGATTGGACTTCTATTTTATCAACAGTAAAGGATGTCGTTGCTGGTAAAACGACTGTTAAAGAAGTCTACGCTGCTGGTATCAAGGACTTCGAGAGTGAAAACAAGGCATAGACTACGTTGGGCTCAATACTTTGTCCATAGAACATAGACTGTTCATTAGAATTAGAATTATAGAGATGCACGTAAGAATATACAAGTTGCTTCCTCTCTTGACACCTTGTCTAGGGTGGTTAAAAAATAACATCGTATTTATCTACTGGCTCACAATTTTCTATTCCATCTTCATTTTCTAGGCCTATAAACCATTTTTACGAACTCCTGCTTCTCATAATCACCCTCAGCAACTATAGGAACCCTCTCCAACTCCTCAAATCCAGTAGCAAGATATACTGGCTCCCCCATTGCACTCGCCGACAAAACGAGAGGTGCATTATCGCGTATCGATCTCTCAATGCCCCATTTCAAGAGTTGAGTAGCATAACCTCGACGTCGAAAGTCTGGATGAGTGCCTATCAAATTGAGATAGAATTCATCACCATTAAACATCTCAGTAAATTCCTTTCGGGCTTCACCAATAGCTTTTATAAAAGCTGCATCATAAGTGGGATCTTTGTCTCTTCGAGTGTCCGCACCAGCTGCTTTCATTGCTTCTCCCGCTTGTTGAAGTTAGTTTTTTAAGGGTCTGAACTTATTGGGGGGAGAACCGTACGCGTTGGAGGATTGTATGTTTCTCCTTTTGCTTTACATATCCGCCTATTCACATACGAAGCATCCCATATAGACAAAGCAGCGACTTTCCAAACCGAATCTTCTTCAACTTCCACAATCATAGTTAGGTAGTCTGGATACTTTCCAGAAACCATAAGCTCAATGTAGAGACGAGAATACTTGAACAGATCTTCGGGATATTTATCACGATTGATGTATCGATATCGCCATGTTGGATCAGAGGTCAGGGACGCAATCATACCAATTCGGATGGCATCGATATCTTTGGGTTCTGCTTCACGAATGCGTGATTTGGCCATGGGGTTTGAAGGGGGTGTTGCCATTATAAGAGCTAGGACTTGAGACTATCTCGCTAATGTAAAATGGATAGAGTGGTCTGGTGAGAAAGTTTGAGAGTTAATCCAACTTATAGATTTATTAATGTGATATAGATATGTAGGAGATCAAGATGCTTATATTTTGAGAAACGTATGACTCATCTGCGATTATCGGATTCATATATACAGATGGATGCCTCGTTCATCCCACTTCTGATAGATATGAAAGGGCAAGTCATAGTTGTTTCTACTCATATTTCAAACTCAAATTCAAATGCAAAGGAAGCGTTCAAGTCCTCAAAACAGCTAAGGCCGAAGATGACCTGATCGTTACAAATATTAGGGAGTCATCGCTTCGATGTGGATGCTTATCAGAAATTGTGGGCTAGATGAAGAACATCCACAAGACTCGGGTTGGTTGGTAACAGCCAAAACACAATCTAGGGCAGAAGTTATATAGTCTCGATCCTGCATTCGAACTTCGAAGTTACTAAAAGCGGAGGGGCGGGATGCATCTAGTGAACATGCTCGGGTCGGCGGGATTGTCCTTTCAACTACCCAAACTGTGATCTGAGCTGAAACACTTTCAAGTGGCTCAATCCATACGATCTACCAATGATATACTTACACCCAGGAAAATGCTTAATGTGAGAGTATCGCATGATAGTAATAGTAATACCATTCTCGAAGTGAACATCATTTATACTTGTTCAGTAACACTTATTAGCTCAGGTAGCTCAGGTACCGGAGGGTTCCTGTGTGGTCGAAAGGATACCTTTAGAATGCCTCTAGAAATGGAAGGTTTGCCGATGTCATGTTGTGCGGGGTAATTTTTCCCCAGACCTCGAGACTCCTTCAATGTTTCAACTATTGGCTTCTCGAGGAGACTAAACTCACAAGCACGACGGCGTCATACGAGTACAAGAGAATTTTGTACCCGTAGACCGAAATCACGCACGATAGTTCTATGTTATACAGATTACAAGACAATATGCGTAGGAAGGTCTACCGAAAAGAGGAGTATTCTTTGATAGTCACAAATGCGTTGTTAAACATATAAATATCCATCCATCACCTGGTATTTCACAAATATACATACTATTTCACGTCCTCCACTAATCCATACTCAAACTACTGTAACACGTCAACATGGGAAGCATTGAAGTTGAAAACCCTATACCATCGTCTCAACGAGTCGAACATGGCTCATTCCAATTACGACTCGCCAACCTCCCTAAATCTACAGCTGAGAAATCCATCGATACTACAAAGATTGCTTCAGATTTCGTTGATCGCTGTAATCAAACAATCAACTCTGCTGACATTTCATCACTTTCTACACTCTTCTTGGAAGAATCATATTGGCGCGATCAATTGTGTCTTTCATGGGACTTTCACACTCTCCATGGCCCTTCCAAAATTCTTGAATTATTCAGTAAAACAAACGGCTCACGCGTAAAATCCATCGCACTTGATTCAAGCTCGGAATTTCGGTCACCCAAACTAACGCCGCTTGACGTTGATGGAAAGACGAATGTCATTCAGGCTTTCATAAAGGTCGAGACGGATGTTGGTAAGGGGGCTGGAATTGCTAGATTAGTAAATGACGATGGAACGTGGAAAGTATTTACGCTCTATACTTTCCTGGAAAACTTGAATGGCTACGAGGAGAATGTAGGAAAGAAGAGGCCTTATGGTGTGAAACATGGGGAGAAGACGGAGAAAGAAAATTGGCTGGATAGAAGAAATCTTGAGAAAGATCTTGGTAATGGAAGTGAGCCGACGGTATTGATTCTTGGTAAGTACTTCCATTGTAGATGATTGAGAAAATTAAGTGCAATATTAACATTCTTCAGGTGCTGGACAAGGTGGCTTGACAGTAGCAGCAAGACTAAAAATGCTTGGTGTTACATCACTCATCGTTGATCGAGAAGAACGAATCGGTGATAACTGGAGAACAAGATATCATCAACTGGTTCTTCATGATCCTGTTTGGTTTGATCATCTCCCATATCTACCCTTCCCTGAGAATTGGCCAGTATTTACTCCCAAGGATAAATTAGGGGATTGGTTTGAAGCATATGTGAGTTTATTAGAACTTAATGCTTGGACTCAAACTACCATTACCACCACTTCATGGAGTGATCAAACCAAGCAATGGACAGTCACTCTAGAAAGGACCAGAAATGGACAGAAGGAAACGAGGATTGTTCATCCAAAAGTATGTTATTTTGCAATGATCTCAGTGAATAATTACTGATTCTCTGTAGCACATCATACAAGCAACCGGTGCAAGTGGAGAGCCAAACTTTCCTTCTCATATCAAGGGAATCGACACCTTCAAAGGTCGAGTGGTTCATTCATCCAAATTCCCTGGAGCAACCGAATCTCGTGGTCAAAATAAAAAAGCAATTGTGGTTGGTTGTTGTAATTCTGGTCATGACATTGCTCAAGATTTATATGAACATGGCTATGAAGTAACAATTGTTCAAAGATCAACTACATATGTTATTGGCACAGAAACAAGTGCAGATGCTCAATCAAGTCTTTACGGAGAAAATGGCATTCCGACTTTTGATGCCGATATGGTCTTTCATAGCATGCCGAATCCAGTACTCAAGAAGTTGAATGTTGAAGGTACCAAGCAAGTGGCTAAGATTGATGAGAAATTACTTCAAGGTCTTGAAAAGGCTGGATTCAAACTTGACAAAGGACCAGATGGAGCAGGTCTTTGGATCAAATATCTTCAACGCGGTGGTGGCTATTATATGGATGTTGGATGTTCTCAACTTATTATCGATGGAAGAATCAAAGTCAAGCAAGGTCAAGAAATTACGGGAATCAGAGAAAATGGTATGGAGTTTGCAGATGGGTCATTAATCGAAGCAGACGAAATTGTATTCGCAACAGGATACCTGAATATGAGAACACAATGCAGGAAAATCTTTGGAGATGAAGTGGCGGATAGAGTTAAGGATGTTTGGGGATTTGACGAAGAAGGAGAAGTTAGAACTATGTGGAGGAAGACTGGTCATGAAGGATTTTGGTTTATGGGTGGAAATTTAGCTTTGTGTAGATGGCAGAGTAAGAGGTTGGCGTTGTTGATTAAGGGATTAGTGGAGGGTATAACGAAGTATGATGATATTTGAGTTATTTATGGCGACGGCGACAGGATATATAATGGAGCTGATAGCTTTAGTTAGTGGGATATTAAATTTCAATCATCAAACTAATTCAGAAATGACTTCTTCACTTCCTCGAACATTCCACTTAAGGTTATATAAGTTGACATGTCGGGCGACTTCTACTGCATACTCATGTTCAGGAAAGTGGCTAAGAATCCAAGAACCTCATATTTGAGAAGTTGGTAATCCCGTAAACATTTAACGAGCTCATATACTCGACTCGAGTATGGTGTATAGAGTATGGTGTATACCTAGATCCTACCTCCTCGCGAGCGAGACCTTGATAGAGCCTCCAGCCCGGCCCTTCCCCTCCGCCCAAATTCTCTTGAATATATATCCAAGCCGTCATATCAGAACAACAACAGATTACTTGCATATCCATTCCGTGCATTCCCGTGCCAAGCCGAATGATGCCCGACTAATGCATTCCATCCGCCTGTCCCGATATCGCCCCTCATACCCACCATCCGAACAATTTTTCATACAGAACCCCACTGCATTCACTACACATCCAAGCTGATGATTTTAATATATAGACACACAAGTAGCATGTTTCCATTAAAGAACCAGGTCGCTTAGCTCAGTTGGTTAGAGCGTGGTGCTAATATCTCATCTGATTCATCAGATAGGTTTGGCACGCCAAGGTCGGCGGTTCGAAACCGCCAGTGATCAATTTTCTTTTGCTCTGCTCAGGAGCTTCATTTTTATCCCTAGGAATACAACGTTGCAAAGTTGCAGTTTGCTTGGGTGGAATCGAGGTGAATGTGGGGTCCGTTGACATGCTACCTTTTTACTTTTCATTTTTGATACTGGTGATTAATGAATCTCGATTTGCCGAGTCTTTCTTGATCAATGGAAATATTTTCTGTGTAATCTATTC